TAGAAGGCTTTTCAATAAACTTGAAAATAGTTGATATTCTAAAAAAAAAAAAAAAAAAGTAACCTAAAGTTCTGGTTAACTATAAGAGCTATCTGCTGACAATAGAGGTAGTGACCTAGTGGTTAAGAGCTGGGCTGCTAACCACAAAGACAGCAGTTCAAAACCACCAGCTGCTTCTCAAGAAAGATGAGGCATTGAAAACCCACAGAAACATTTCTACTCTTGTTCTATAGAGTTACCGTGAGTCAGACTTGACTCAATGTCAGTGAGTTTGGTTTGATTTTGATTTTTCCCCATTTTGTTCATGTGAGTTCACGTATGTATGTTTTCTGAGTTTTGTGATTATAGAATAAAACCATGAGCAAAAGTAGTTATTTTCTACACCCATAATTGGATTAAATGGGGGTGTCATATGAGTTCACACCATGCCCATGTAAGTATTCTGGTTTGGGACTTCTGAGTTTGACTTCTCAACATAGTGACTAACAACATTTGAGTACCCCCTGATTCTAGTTTTACCTAGTCTTCTTCAATATCGTCATCAGCAGCTATATTTTTGGTAAAAGTATACACAACAAAATAGGTTCCCAGTCAACAAATTCTGTACATAATGCTCATTGACGTTGGTTACATTCTTCAATTTTTATCAGCATTTTCATTATGTTTCTTATAGTTGTTTCACTGCTGTTAACTTAGTCTTAAAGCCAAGTACACTGCCGTCATATAGATTTTAAACTCACTGCAAACCTATAGGGCAGAGTAGTGCACTGGTCCATAGGGTTACCAAGGCTGTAAGTCTTTATGAAGCTGACTGCCATGTCTTTCTCCCTTGGAGGCACCGGAGGTTTCAAATCACCAACCTTTGGCTAGCAGCCCAGCATTCAGCTCACTGCACCATCAAGGGCTCCTGAAGTTAGTGTCATTACCTCTCAGCTCGCATGTCTGCTTTAGAGTAACTGTTGTCCATTTGGACATGGAACCCATCCATAGGACTAATGGACTACATAAACATCACTCTCAACCCAGAGACCACAAGAACAAGGTGGGGTCTGACTACCACTACCAACTGCCCTGAGAAGGGATTGTCACGTTAGAAGGCCCTGGGTAGAGTAGAAGGAAAGAGTGGAACAGAACTCAGAATCATAAGGCCAGGCTTGCTGATCAGATGGAGTTTGGTGGAACCCCTAAGCTTCTGACCTTTCAGGTCTGGGAATGAACTCACCTTCATGGTTCACTTTTCAGCCAAACAGTAGACAGGTCTCTAAGGGGAACAGTAACACATGGGAAGTGTGCACACCTTAAAAGAATCAACGATGAGATCAGAAGGGCAGCATTTATCAAAGGACAAAGTCCAGGAAGGTTAAGAAAGAAGGAGGAATAGAAACAGGAAGGAAGTGGGGTGACATGATGCATTGAGGGAATTGCAGTCAATGAGAGGAAACAAAATGGGAATGAATTGTGGAAGGTAAAACTGATCTCTTAGCCTTCATCAGCTTCACAGTGTAAAGTATTTTAACAGGTTTCCAGGTCACTTTTATTTTTTTATCTTTTAGATCATCATCAGAAGAGAAAGAGTGCCTTACATACTCTTCAGGAAGTATAGTTCATTTACTTTTTAATTTGTTTTACAGTGGAAGATCGATGATAAGCCTGTAAAAATTGACAAATGGGATGGATCGGCTGTGAAAAATTCTTTGGATGATTCTGCCAAAAAGGTACTTTCATGAGGTGTTAGCATGTGTGAAACTGATGGCTCACGTGGAGGATCTTTCTTACCGATACCCGGCAATGTCCGAAGTTTTCAGCATTAGAAATGGAGCCAGACAAGGAGGGTGTAGTAGACTTGGTAGGACTTGATCAAAGGCACTGTAACCTAGACGAAGTAATGAAACTCAAATGAAGGCTGAACATGATAGTGGGACAAGAGGAACGTAAAAGGAAATAGAGAAAGAACTAGGAGGCAAAGGGCATTTATAGAGGTCTAAATATAGGCCTGTACATATGTAAATATATATATGACGATGGGGAAATAGATCTTTGTGCATATATTTATAGATTTAGTATTAAGGTAGTAGGTGGGCATTGGGCCTCTATTCAAGTACTCCGTCAGTGCAAGAACACTTTGTTCTATTAAACTGGCATTCCATGATGCTCACCTTCCCAACACAATTGCTGAAGATAAAGTAGGTGCATAAGCAAATGTGAAGAAAGCCGTTGATGCCCAGCTATCAAAAGATAATAGCACCTGGGGTCTTGAAGATACAAAAGCAGCCATCTAGCTCAGAAGCAACAAAGCCCACATGGAAGAAGCACTCCAGCCTGTGTGATCATGAGGTGTCGATGGGATCAGGGATCAGGCATATAAGACCCAGAATAAAACCATACCCAAGGTTAATGGGGTGGGGGCCATGGAGTGGAGACCCAATGCCCATCTGTAGACAATTGGACATCCCCTCTCAGAGTGGTCACAGGGAAGAGATGAGCTAGTTAGGGTGAGTATAGCACTGATGAAACAACTTCCCTCTAATTCATTGGTGCTTCTTTCACCCCACTATCATGACCTCAGTTCTACCTTACAAATCTGGCTAGACCAGAGGCTGTACACTGGTACAGATCAGAGCTGAAAACGGAATTCAGGACAGATAAACCCCTCAGGACCAATATTGAGAGTAGAGATACCAGGAGGGTAAGGGAAAGGTGGGGGAGAAAGGGGAAACCAATCACAATGATATACTTATAACCCCCTCCCTGGGGGACAGATAACAGAAAAGTGGGTGAAGGGTCTAGAGACATCGGACAGTGTAAAACATGGAGAAATAATAATTTATAAATTATCAAGGGTTCGTCAGGATGGGGGAGGGAGGGGAGAAAATGAGCTGATACCAAGGGCTCCAGTAGAAAGAAAATGTTTTGAGAATGATAATGGCAACAAATGTACAAATGTGCTTGACACGATGGATGTATGAATTATGATAAAAGTTGTACGAGCCCCCAATAAAATGATTTAAAAAAAAAAAAAGAAAGAAATGGGACCAGAAAGCAGGATTAAAATTCTGACATTAGCAGATGCCCTCTTCAATAAGTGGTGCTAGAAAAACATGGTTATCTACCTGCAGAAAAATGAAGCCCTACCCTTACCTCACTCCATGCACAAGAATAAATTCAAGGTGGATCACAGATTTTGAGGTAAAACCCCAAACTATTATGGCCATTAATGAGGGAATTGGGACAAACTTGAGAACCTTGGCACAGGGAATACATAGGCTATCGAAAATAGGGAAGGATACAAATACAGAGGAGTCACAAATTGACAAGTGGGATATACTGAACATAAATCACCTGTGTACATTGAAAGACTTCACCGAGAGCAGTAAGAGAGCCCACAGGCTGGGAAAACATCTTTAGCAGTGACACATCAGGCAAAGGCCGTATTACTAAAATCTACAATACTTTGCAAGCTCACAATAAGAAAAAAACTAACTGCCCCCTAAGGAGGTAGCAAAGGACCTGAACAGAAGTTGCACAGGGGCAGAAACCTGAATGGCCAATTAACATATGAGAAAATGTTCCCAATCATTAGTCATAAGAGAAATGCAAATTAAAACAACTATGAGATACCACCTAATACACTCAAAGATAGCCCAATTCAAAAAATCAGAAAGTAACAAGTGTTGGAGGGGCTGTGGGGAGACAGGAACACTTTTCCAATGCTGGTGGGCCTGTAGGTATGTATAGCCACTACAGAAATCGATTTAGCGATAGCAAAAACAGATCGAGATTGAGCTACCATACGACCCAGCAATCCCCCTACTGGGCATGTACCCAGAAGAGACAAGAAACAAACCACGGCCAGACATCTGTGCTCCAATGTTCATCACGGCACAGTTCACAATTACAGGGAGTTGGAAACAACCCAGATTTCCATCAACAGACGAATGGATCAAAAAACTGTTATATACATAACAATGGAGTACTACGCATCCCTAAAATGCAGTGATGAATGCATGAAGCACATTGCCGCGTGGGAAGAACTGTAGGAAATCATGCCAAGTGAAGTAAGTCAAGCATAAAAGGACAAGTCCAACATGAATCCACTGAGGTAAGCTTTAAAAAGGGGAGGCATAGGGGAAAAGCTACTATATACATACATCCCTGGGGTGAGGTCTGGCAACTATGGCAGGGGCCAAACCCAATCTAGGGATACTTAAGGCAGCCAACTAAATAAAAGGGGGAAAGAAAGAGAAAGAAAAAAAGACATGGGTAGGGGGTGGTGGTACTAATCCACCCAAGGGGAGGGTATTGTTGATATTTCCATCAGAGAGAGAGAGAGACCAGGCTTCAACTCGATGTGCCAAGATGTGAGCACAACATGTACCAGGGAACCAATAGAGAGGTCTGCGGGGCTGGCCCCAATCCCAACTATGCGGACTCCCATTCTCCTCCCCCCAGAAGAATGCACATCGGGACAGCACTGGAGCTACAGCTTGGGGAAAGGGGCGCATCAGATTAGAGCACACAGGTGAAACACAAAGGGATAGAGAGGGAGGAGAGGATATACTGGCCCACCAAGTCCCAAGGATGATGTTCCTTCTCAGAGCAGACAACGCTCAGGGAGGACCATAGGGCTGGCCCCACCAAAGGACACAGCATCCCTCATTGAACCATGATGCTTGAGAACAGCACTGGAGATACACTACGGGAACAGTGCACGGTCTGGCCCCATCACATTGGGGCGAGTCACTGAGGGCATGCAACAGAGCAGCAGGGGGAGCAGACTGGGGAATACAAAAAATAGACTTGGGAGACAGAGTGTGGCACCCTATTAGACTCAATTGGAAAACAGTGGTAAAGGCCAATAAACAGACCTTGAACTATTTATAGGCTTTTCCATTTTTGTCAGTTTTGTGTTATTTTGTGTTTTTTGCTGTTGTTTTGACTTCCTTTGTTGCTTTATTTGGCTTTGCCTGGTTTTTGCCCTTATTCATGTATCTGCATGTCTTATCTAGATAAGATAGGCGGGATAAATAATTTGGAGATAAAAACAGGACCAGTGGTTCCAGGGGGGTACTGGAGAAGGGGGAGGGAGGAGAAAGGAAGAGGAGGGGGAGAACCCAGAACAAGGGAACAAGTGTACTAAAATCGATGGAAGGAAGGTTGTCAGATGCCTGATGGGGCTCAATCAAGGGCAGTGTAGCAGCAAGGAATTACTAACCCGAATGAAGGCCGAACATGATGGTGGGGCAAGAAGGAAGTAAAAAGGAAATAGAGGAAAGAACC